ATAGACTGTATGCAAGCCTGGTAACTGGGCCCGGAAATTGAACCAGGAAGGTGGTGGCCTGTGGGTAAAGTCCCGGTTTAGATGATAGTGTGGCTTTTGCCTAGGTGGTGTTTGTGTGTGTGGGAGTAAGGACACTACAGCCATGCAGGGGTGGGTGGAGATCAAGGAGGTCGGTACGGCTCCACTTTAATGCAATACTAGCTTAGCGCCCGCGGTGCGGGCGGTGCGGGCTACGCCCGCAAAATTAAAAAAAAGGAATGGCAAATATCAGACGAATTGCTCATATGGACTCAAACTCATTCGTAAGAATAAATAAATAAATAGCGGAGCAGCAATAGAAGGGTTTTGTCGAAAAAGGGGGAAAATAGCATTTTGTGCGCCCAAAAAAAAAAAAAAAAAGTGAATGGCAAATATCACACGAACTGCTTAAATAGACTTAAATGCAGTTGTAAAAATAAAAAGAAGATAGTGGGCCAAAAAAAGGAAAAAAAATTGTATTAAAAAAAACAGATAATGTGCCGGTAATAGAGAGAGAGAGAGAGAGAGAGAGAGAGAGAGAGAGAGAGAGAGAGAGAGAGAGAGGTATATCTTGGCACGTTGGTTCTTTCTTGACTAAGTCTTGTTGCTTGTCTCTTCTCCAAAATAGCTGCTTTTTTTTTTTTTTTTTCATATGGTCCAATGGTTCTTTCTTTATCAAGTCCTGTGTACCTGCCTGCGTGCCTGCCTGCCTGCCTGCCTGCCTGGCTCTCTTTCCTGCAGCCTGCCTGCCTGCAAGCCTGCTTGCTTGCCGGCGTGTCTGCCTGTCTGCCTCCCCGCATGCGTGCCTGTCTGCCTGCGGCCCTGCGCGCCTGGCCACCTGCCTGCGTGCCTGCCTGCCTGCCTGCCTGCCTGCCTGCGTGCCTGCGAATTCCAGCCTGCCGTTCTGTCTGCCTGCCCGCTTGCCTGTTTGCCTGTCTGCCTGCCTCTCTGCCTGTCTGCCTGCCTCTTTGCCTGCATGGCTGGCTGCCTGTCTGGGTGCTTGTCTGCATACCTGCCTGTGTGTGTGCGTGCTTGCATGCCTGCCTGCCTGTGTGACCGCCTGCCTGCCTGCCTGCCTGCCTGTGTGCCTGTCTGCGCGCCTGCCTGCCTGCCTACCTGCCTGCCTGCCTGCTTGCCTGCTTGTCTGCCTGCCTGCCTGCCCGCCTGTCTCCCTGCCGCCCTGCCCGCCAGCCTGTGTGCCTGCCTGCCTACCTGTGTGCCTCCCACCCGGCGTGCCTGCCAGCATGCCTGCTTGCTTGTCTGCCTGTCTGCCTGCCCGGCTGCCTGCCTGCCTGGGTGCACTGTAGATCGGATTCTGTGTAATCCTGTAGTCACTACTATGAACTAATCGGGCTTGGATGTGGTACTACCTGGACTACTATGTTCTTTGGATGCGTTATTAAGTGGCCCAACTGTCATACTATGTGGATTCTAGGGCAGGAGAGGAGGAGAGGTGTGTAGGAGGGAAGGGAGAGGAGAAGGACTTCACGGGAAGACGGTTCCTTTTTTTTTTGGGGGGGGTGGGGTTGCTCTCTCTCTCGCCCCCAACACA